TTGGCATCATACCCAAAGATCATTGTCAAGACCAGAATTAAGGAAATCTTTTCCTATGTTTTATTCCACAGCATTTATGGCTTCAGGTCTTATGTTGAAACTTTATAATCCACGTCAACTTAATTTTTGTGAGTGGTGTAAAATGTGGGCCCAGTTTCATGGGTTTGCATGTGGATGCCCAGTTTTCGCAACACTCCATTTATTGAAGAGACTATCTTTTTTCTCATTGAGTACTCTTGGCTCTCTTGTCAAATATTAGTTTACCATATACATATAGGTTTATTTTGAGGCTCTCAATTCAGTTCCATCAGTCTACTATATCTGTTGTTATAGCAATACCGTCCTGTTTTGGTTAATATAGCTTTGGAATATAGCTTGACTTCAGGAGATGTGATGCCTTCAACGTTGTTCTGCTTTCTCAAGATTTCCTTGGCTATTTTTTTCTTTTTTTGTGGCACCATATGAATTTTAGGATTTTTTCCAATATGCTCCATCTACACAGGTCTTTCTGTTCTTCAAATAAACTGAGTCAGAAACATGAATATCTTTTTTGCTCTCATCATTCAGACCTCAAAAGCTACATCTTCCTCAGAGAGCCCCTGCTGTCCATTTTATCAGCTCCATCGCCCGGGCCTTTACTGGTCCGTTATCATGTTACTTTGTTCTAAAAACTTGCCACTTCCTAAAATTATCTTACCCATCTATTTTTGTAGTGTCATATTTTCTTTATTGAATATAAGTCCTGCAAGAATACAAAATATTTCTGCCATTTTCACTGTCCTATTATTAGTACAAAGAAAAATGCCTGGTGAACAGAAGACATTTAATAAATCTTTGTTGAAGATCTATAAAAAGGAGTAAATGAAGAAACAAGTTTATTTTAAGCATATATTTTGTCATCACCCTGTTGTTTTACTTTGCCATGTACCAAAGTTGTTTGTGAAGCATCCATTAGAGATGCCAAGAACTTACGAGAAGAAGAGAGAGGTTGTTAACACTCAGGCTGTTGGGTAAAAAGGAAAGACAGTGTCAGGTTTTTGCCAGACTTCAGCAGGCAATCTCCATCAAGGTATCAATGATGTCTTCCACAGAACTAAAGCAGATATTCCAAAAATTTATATGGAACCACAAGAGACCCCAAATAGACACAGAAATCTTGAGGAAGAAAAACAAAGTTAGTGGAATCATGCTACTTGACATCAAAATATACTATAAGGCCATAGTAATCAAAACAGCCTGATACTGGGATAAAAACAGGTATATAGATCAATGGAACAGAATAGAGAGCCCAGAGATAAACTCATGCCTGTATAGTCAATTAACATTTTACAGAGGAGGCAAAAACATACAATGGAGTAAAGATAGTCTATTCAATAAATGGTTTTGGGAAAACTGGACAACATGTATATTAAACAAAAACAAAAACAACAACTAGACCACCTTCTTACACCACACACAAGAATAAACTCAAAATGGATTGAAGATTTAATTGGTAGACTTGGAACCACAAAAATCTAGAATAAAACACAGGCAGTAAAATCGCAGCCATTTCTCCTAGCAAGGTATTTTTTAAAATATATCTCCTTGGCCAAGGGAAACAAAAGAAAAAATAAGCAAATAGGGCTACATCAAACTAAAAAGTTTTTGCACAGCCAAGGAAACCATAAACAAAATGAGAAGACAACACACTGAATGGGAGATATTCACTAATAATACATCTGATACGGAGTTAATAAAATTAATAACTTATAAAACTCAACCCCCCAAAAACGACTACTCCAATTAAAAATGGGCAAAGTACCTGAACAGACATTTCTCCAAGGAGAACAAATAGATGGCCAATACTTATATAAAGAGATGAATGGTTATCATCAACAAAAAAACAAGTATTGGTAAGAATGTGGAGAAAAGGGAACCCTCATGCACTGTTGGTAGGAATGGAGATCGGTGCAGCCGCTGTGCAAAGCTGTATGGAGTTGCCTCAAAAAATTAAAAATGCATCTGCCTGACAACTGAGCAATTCCACTTCGGTGACTATGTCCAAAGAAGGAAAAAGACGAATTTGAAAGAATAAATGCCCTCCTACATTCACTGCAGCATCACCAAGATTTGGAAGCAGCCCAAGTGTCCATCAAGAGATGAATGGATAAAACCAACTATGGTGCATTTACACACTGGAACGCTACTCAGGCATCAAAAAAGAAGGAAATCTTACCCCGTGCAACAACATGGATAGACCTGGAGAGTTTTATGCTAAGTGAAATAAGCCAGTGAGAGAAACACAAATACTATATGATCTCACTTACATGTGGAATCTAATGAACAAAATTAACTAACAAGCGAAACAGAGACAGACCCGTAGTCAGAGGGAAGGCTACAGCTGTCGGGAGGGAGGGTGATGGAGGGGTGCGGTGAAATCATTGAGAAAACGGTGAAGACTCACGGACATGGGCACGTGGACAACAACGTGCTGCTTGCCGGCGGGGGCGGGGGGCGGGGACAGGTTGGGGAGAGGTAGGGGAGGGTATAGAAGGGTGACTGGGTGATGGGAGGAGACTCGGCTTAGGGTGGCGGACACACAGTACAGGGCACAGATGACGTTTTGTGAATTGCGCCCCCGAAACCTCCATGGTGGTGTTAATCAGTGTCACTCCAGTTCACTGAATAAAAAGCAAGTAAGACCGTGGATGTGATGGAGCCACTGAGCAGAGCCTTTGTCCAGCTTGTTTTCTCTGCAGGGAAATGCTCGATCCAGAACCCTGTTCTTCTCACACTGAGAGTGGACTCACGTGTGCGCTAACTATCTCCCTGGTTCTGTTTCTCTGCAGCAAGAAGTGGTCTGGGTGCTGCTGAAGCCTTTTGTCTCAATCTGTCTGGCATTTGCAGAAAAGACATCTGCAAAGTGATAGAAGACACCATTGGCGCCTGCCGCAGACGGTGGAAATGCTGCCGAGCCTGGTGGGTGCTGCTGCCCATCCCCACGCCGGTCGTGTATTCCGATTACCAAGAGCCTCTGAAGCATAAATTGAAATGAATGAGGAGATGAAAGCATCCAAAGGAAAATTCTTTGCATCTAAGTACATTTGAATATGTATCTTCATGTAGTCCAGCTTTATTACCAACTTTCATTACTCTGGGTCAACAAGAATAAATACTGATTTAAAAAATCTACCCAGATGCTACCTCTTTGGGACTCATTTTCAGATCCAAACCATGTCTTATTCATTCATTCATTCATTTATTTATTTATTTAACAATATTTATTTCACAATCCATTTTAAAAAAATTTGTCACAGGAAAACCAAAGGATTAACAAAAAAAGTCACAAAGGTGAAAAGATAATTATACAAAACATAATTAACAGACACACAGAGAAAATGCACAGGCAAATTACACAGGAAATCCGGGAAATATCGGAAAGGGAAGAGATGTAGGTGAGGAAGGGGGAGGAAATTAGAAGAGGGAAGAGGAAGAATTTGGGATAATACACAGAGGAGATGACTGTATGGCTGATAACTAGAAAGAGACAAAAACTGGAAAGGAGAGAGGAGAGGTTGAAGATCAGCGGAGATGTATATAAGCACCCTGAAACAGAGAACCTCAGCTAACAAAGAGATGCTCAAGTGACTCCTATGAAAAAACACCGTGATCACTTAGATTCTCAATGCTTTACACCCCGAGACACATAATTCCTTCACAAATCTGGAACATCTTACTCTAACAATACATTGACCTCTTGGAAGAGCATGCTGTCAATATTCTTTATGAATAGTCGCTTGGATGCTTCATAACTTCTAATTTCAAGTTCATCTTCCTCCCTTGAAGTTCTCACTTTCCTTTCCTAATGTCACATCCCTCAAAGTAGTTCTTAGGTGTTTTAGTTTTCACCTGTGTACTATATTTTGACGATTAGAAAAATGGTGGGTTTTTTTTTGATGATTAAAAAATGTAGTGCAGACTTTTTCTTCCTATAATGCAATATTTATGAAGCCTTTTTATAAAGATTTTATTAATTTATTTTTAGAAATGGGGGAGGGAGGGAGAGAAACATTGATGTGAAAGAGAAACATCAATCGACATCAAAATAGAAGATATAAAAGTATATAAATTTTTTTCAAAAAAGCTGGTATCACATATTTAAGTTTATACATAAAAAAATGCATTTATATAAATGTCCGCTGTTAAGCCATTGAAGAGTAGAAAAATTAGCAATAATGACTTGTTTTTTAGTCCACTGACTCTTGGTCAGAGGCATTTCTTAAGCGTTCAATGCTTCGTTTTTATATGTGGGGTATGTTGGGAGGGTAGGGAGTCTCTACAAGCTGTAGACACACCCTCTTTTTTTTTAAATCCTGTTTCTTTGATTACAGTTGGCTAGACATTGAGTCTTTGGACAAGGGATGAGGAAACACTGGTGATGGAACTCTCTCACCGTCCTTGTCATGTGAGATGGTCACACGCAGGATCGACACAGATAAGACAATGTTAGTGTTCATGTGGAGTCAGCATGTTTGCCTTTCAGATGCTATTAAGAACATTGAACATACGTGACACTAGCCTCTCTTTTAAGGAATAATTTAAAAATAAAACTTCACTTAAAAAAATGGTCCTTGGACCACTCTCCTACCCGTGGCGCGGAAGAGAGCGAGCCGTGCGAGAGTTCCCCTCCGAGCCAGAGGACCTTTTGGTAACAAGGCCTTCATCCTCACAACCCCACTTCCTGGCCACTTCAAAAGATGGCTGGCCCAAGGCACTGGCCTCTGGGGGATTTGAGAGGCCATGGCCAAAGCGAAGGGTTGGCCACCTGGTTTCCTGTAATTAGGTTAATTTGTCACCAAAAGTAGAGTCTCCACAGTTTGGAGGTATTCCAACGGAAGCTGTTTTGTTTTCTTACTTGTTAAGCTTCACTGACCAAAAAGAACCCCAGTTCCTAGGAAATTAATAAAAGGCCCTGAGTTCCACTGTCCCTTGTCACTTACCTCTCTGCTGGGCAATCGACCATGAGACTCCAGTCCCTGCTTCCTGTGCTCCTCTTGTTTGTGACTATCATGCCAAAAGGTAAGATGGTGAGGACTCCCGGAGCTAGGTTTCTTAGGAGACCTACGGGTATGCCCGATTCTACCGTGGTCATCTGAACTCAGGCCCTAATGCGCAGCCTGTGGGAATTCAGAATTCCAACATGCTCTTCTTCCTGGGGACTTAGGAGGACAATAGCACAAAGCAGGACAAAGATTTCCATCCAGAGAACACAAGATCTGAGAGCTCTGTGATTAGAGAATGCAGTCCAAGTAGAGGGAGAGGTAAAGAAGCTTTGATGAGTGGTTTAAGGATTAGCATACAAACCGAGCAGCTGTTACCAGTCCCCACCCCTCAAACTCTAACTCTTCTCCTCTCTCCATCTTTGTCGTGTGGGATGGTTACACAAAGGATTGAAAAGAGGGTGAAAATATCAGCTGTTGGTTTAGACTTGGTTAGTAAGTGGGAGACACTGAGCTCATCGGTGAGGAATACTTATGAAGGGTAGAAGTTAGGTGCATAAGAGAGAACTGAACAAAAAGAGGGTTGTATCTTGTATCAAGTTACAAAAAAAAAAAAATAGGGAGCCAGGGAATTTGGAAAAAGCATAAGCAGAGGGATAAAGCTTCCAAGGCCAAGTTGTAAGCAAAAGACAAAATATGAAGCTATGAAATTAGGTAGAGTAGAAACTGAAGGGTTCATAGACTTTCCGAAAAAGGAGAGGAGAGCGTTGTATCAGGGCAGTTCAGCAGGTGGGAACCCTGCGCCCTACCCATTGCATACCCTGGACACCTCCTCCATCTCAGTGACAACAACAAATTGCCCTGCACATTTCGAAAGGTGCTTCCAGAGGGGACCCCTCTCCACAGGCTTCTAGAAGTCAGCCTGCCCTTACTCACACATGTTTGGTCCCACAGTTTTAGCCTTTTGCCCAAAGGCACGTCTTTTGTCTAAGCATCTGACCTTTTCCTGTAGATACAAGCCTCTCTTCTACGGCAACGCCATCTTTCTGTAGCTATGCTGCTTTATGTACATTGCCAAAATTTGATGGCGTCTTAACGGTGTTGTCAAATCTCTTCCTGCGCAGCAAGAACTGGCATTATCCCGGGGCTCAAACAGTGTGTCGTTTTGAAAGGCGTGTGCAAGGACGGAGGCTGCACCTCCACAGACGACACCATCGGGGTGTGCAACCAGGAGAAGAAGTGCTGTCGACGGTGGTGGGTGCTGTGGCCCTACCCGACACCAGCTCCCAGGTCAAAATCTCCTTAGAAGGAAGCAAACTGCAAGCCCTTCGACCTCCAAGACACACGGATGCACTGTGCAGATTCCCGGGGGACCCAGCTCGTCTTTCCTTCCCCGACGGGGAGCCACTGTCCTGGTCCCATGCACAGCGACCCCCGAGGAATGTCTTCTTGGTGCCCAGGCAAAGCCTCTAAGTGCCACAACCCTCAGCGAATAGCAGAGGAAGCTCCTGTCCTGAAGATATTTATACAAAACACAACTTTCTTGAGAAAGGATAGAGTAAAATTTTAAATGTGTAAAATAATAAAGGTGGGACATAGCAGAAGGCCGTGCTCGGTTATCTGAAGTGGAACACCGACCTCCTGTCTCACCCGACTCTAAACACAGATCATGGCATTCCCGCCTGGGAGACGTGGGTTGAGGATGGTCGGTCCCGGGGTCTGGGTACCAGCCAACCTGAGCATGAGGCAGGTGCCCGCCCAGTCCTGCCCGCAGCCACCTGCGCCCCGAGGCCCTCTCAGGCTGCTACTACTAACGTGGGTGGCAGTGGCCCGCAGGGCCCTGTGCTTCCTGAGTACAAAGGCCACCAGATACCCAGAGTGCCTACCGCACAGTCATACACGCTGTCATTGATGAGCACAGGTTCTCGAGGCGACCGCATTTCAGTTAAAATCGTCATTCTTTTGCTTACCCTTCATATGAGTCTGAATTCCTTACTTAATCTTCATTTGCCTGAAAATTCTCCCTCAGGAAATGAATGAAATAGATGGACCCTAGAGATAAAGACAGTCAGTCCAGTTTCTCTGGGCCTGTTTGTGACTCTTTGCTGCCAGCGTTGCCAGCGAAAATACAGGAGGCCCAGGTAAACATAAAGTTCAGCTATACCAGGAAAGCTGTCAGTATAAAAACGCATACTATTTGGCACGTGGTTCTACTAAAAATTAGCCATTACATTTCATATCAAACTTAAGTGAGTGTTGTTTGCTAAAGCTGGCAACCCTCTTTCTGATCCACACATGCGGGAAATTCCAGGAACTCCCTCTCCGTTCCGCAGAGCGCTTCTTACCAACCACGCTGAAACCCTCCTAACCCGCTATTCTCCCTCTGTTTGGGGTCGCACTCCTTGCCACGGGGCCTCTACTAGCTCTACCTAAGAAGCTATACTCAGGCTCAGAGCCCTGGGCGTCAACGTGCTCCTTCTGCTCGTTTTGAATGATCTCATTCCACAGCAGCTGTGGGTTCTGCTGTGCTGAGCTGTTGAGTTGCTGGTGCAGTAATGCTGGTAGATTTGAACAAATTAGCACGCCTTTCCCCGCAGCATGTTTATCTGGCTGTTAACTTCTGTGTGTCAAAATCATGACTTGTGCACAAGGTACACTTAATAGTCTAATATTTCCCCCCAAGGAATTTGAGTTCCTTTCAGTGGGTTCTTACATTGCCCGTGAATGTAAGATACAGCATCTGTTTCTTTGAGTCGGAAAGTGCACTGTGGTATGTGCCTACTTCTTCCCAATCGCCAAGCTTCTGTTCTGCAGTATAGAAGCTACTGATTGGAGTAATTTGGTTCTCACCCCATAGGATATAATGAGGAAGGCAGAATGTTAACTTTAGACAAGACTTAGCAGTATAACTGTAAATCGATATTAAAGTAACATCTTCCATTGATATCATTAGATTCTATTCCAAGAACTTTGTGTGTGTGTTTTTAAATGATATAAGATTCTTAATATAGATTCTTCAGGTAGCCTTTTCATTTGTGATGAAGTTGCTCTTTGAAAATGCATGTCCCCAACCATGAATGATTTCCATTTCTGTTTATTGACTTTCTGAATGATGCTGATGCTGTGTTCTTTTTAGAGTTTTAGGAGAGATTCCAAACAAAACTGGACCAAAGTTTCATTCAACACAAGTAAAATTTTTTACTATATCGCCTATGTAAGTAGAACCAGTATGCAGTATAACTGTAATTCTTATTATCTATTCCTTTGGAACAATATAAGGTAAATGGTGGCAGTTCTAAGATTATGGTAAATGATGTGCCTCTTGGAAAGATAGAACCTACTAAATGTCCTTCTATAGGTGAAGGAACCAAGACCCTAAGAAAATAACGGTGTTGCATACGGATTTATGGCGGATGATAAGGATTTAAAGTAGATGATGAAATACGGAATAAAATAGGAGCGATGCAGAGCGCTCAATGAAGCAGAACCGTAAAAGGCGGAGAAGTGAGGGTAAAAACCAAAGTCACATCACTGTCCTGTTTGCCGTGGCTCACAACTCTGACCCTATGCTCACTGCAAGCTCGATAACAAAGCAAAATGTCTCCACTTGTGTACTTTTAAAAAGAGCAGTTGAATCAATTGCTCAGGAGAAGCACAGATAGTATTGGTACTGAGAGTGGATGTGAATTCTTGCTTGGGTTCTTCATGAAGAGAACACCACGTACCACATGAGCAACAATGGCTTATGAACTCCAGGCCACAACCAGGCCCAAGGCCCAGATCTACTGATTTTCTACCATAATATGCACAGAAGTTGGTTTCCAACTGTTCTCAGCAAGCCTGTAGGTTCCCCATTCCATTTTTTGTTTCTTCCACCCAGCAGTCGGGATGATACATGTTTTTTCTATGAACACCAAGCCACTCTGAGCACAACTCAAGATAGCATTATATTTTAAATTTTTTTAAACATTCATCTATACTGACAGCTTGAGAAGTCGATCACTTTTGATGAACGAATTGAAGAATATTGTCTTAGCTTTAGCTGGGACAGTCCATTCTGAGGTGCCAGTTTCCGTTTTTTGCATAGATATATCTGAAAAGCCATTGCAATTTGGCAAATGTACTCATTAGGTTGGGTACACATTACATTTTTAGAGAAAGGTGAGGCTGGATGGGTCGTGGTGTGGAACCCCTGGGACCTGACTTTCTGTGGCTTCCTCAACGCTGCCCGGACAGGTGCCCAGCTACACGACACCCACAATCTGATTTAATGGCACCATAGACCCAGGCTTGAGTGACTACAGTAGGAAGACACTTCATCTGCACATTTAAACAAAGTGCTTATTTATTTTCATCATAACCAAGTAATCTTACAGGCAAAAAGAAAATGTTTAAAAGAAAAGGGTAACTTCCAGGGCCAGTTTACTAGGTGAAATAAAAAGCCAGCATCTCACATGGACAAGGCCTTCCTTTGCTGTGCCATGTAGTTCTCTGGCCCGTTGTGCGCAGCAGAGCTCTGCTAACCTACCTTCCTCCACAGCGTCAGAACGAGTAGTGTTCACAGTCTGTCTGAGGCATGACGTTTCTGAGCTGCCAAGGACAGACTACATTTTACATTCCTAAGAACATCTCTTTCATTCATCATGCCAGAAGGCGGGTGCTTTTTTTCAATACCTACAACGAACCTTGCGTGTCCATCCCTGAGAGACAAACATCAGCAACTCTCGGCCACGCTGGTCTCTGCGACGACCTATTGCCATGAAGCAAATCTCAGAGATTACGTTATCGTGCAGTGGGCAGTCTCCCAGGCAGGAGCAGAGTTGGAACAACAGGCCCGGCATAGAGGGTCACCAGGGCGAAGAGCCCCAGGTGCCCAGCAGCAGGCAAAATCACAAGCCCTCGCCGACCACTCCCTTAAGCATTCACTGCTAGTGGTAACTTCTAGGTTTCAGCTGTGTTTCGGCTCCAGGTCCAGAAAAGCAGCAACACCAGGGAGAGATGCCACGGCCGACATCAGGACCGGCTGCACTGACCCAGCCCTGGTGCTGACCAATCAGTGGAGACCACCACCCTGAAAGGACCACCTGGAGAGCTGACGAGCATTCCATTGAGATCCTCCCCTGGGGCCCCCAGATGAAAGCCTTCGGGACGGAGGAGCAGCGCTTCTCTCTCTAGGGACACAGACTTGCCTTTCCCGACCCCTCCCCCCAGGCATGTTTTCCTCATGTCCCTCTTTCTCCTAAGCTCTAACGGCCCTTCTTCTGCCTCTGCCGCTTGTTTCCTGAGCCCACGCAGCCCAGCTGGCTCACTTCTTCTACAGCTCACTTCTCCCTCTGTGACCTTCTCAATAAACCTTCTCTTACAGTTTGTCTTGGCCCTAAATTCTTCCTTAGCCAGAACTCACATACCAAGGCTGTTGAACCAAGGTCTAGCCTGATGCCACCATTCTAACACCTGGTGCTGTTTTGCCACCAACAATTGTGCTGATAAATATTTCGGTACATATTTGTAAAAGGTAAGAACTCTTCTATTAAATACCACCTCAATCCTGCTGTCACACTGACACATTTAATAGTGACTCCTTAGTGCCACCAAACACCCCGCCAGATCCCAACGGTCACACCACCAGACGATTCCATGGTTTTTACAGTTGCTTTGTTGCAGGGCTTTGGCAAATATTTACTACAAGGCACTTTGGTTCCAGGGAATGTGCTGCACATTCTGACATGTTTCATGAATTCATTCGCTGTAATTATTTATCGAGGGCCCAATACGTGCCCGCAGAGTTGAGGGTCCTCGGAACAAATGCATCGGTAAATCAGACAGACGACATGCCTTCTTGGCGCTCCTACTGTGGGAGGGTGAGATAGAAAATAACTGATAAAAATAATAAAAGCAAATGTGCCCCTTTGGTATCAGGTGACAAGTGCTTTGGGGGAAAAGGAAATGTTACAGCCAGTGAAGAGTTATTTGAGAATCCAGTTTCAAAAGGTAATGAGGCAGAAAACTGATGGTCAAGGTGCCTTCTGAACAAAGACTGAAAAGAGGAAATAGAATTGACCATCCACACGTGCGGAGGGAATGAGCCTAAGTCACAGGCCAGTTCCAATGCAACAGGATGGGACAAGCCTGGCATGTTCCGAAGCAACAGGGTCGAAAAGCATGATATTGTTTAATCAAAATAAGTGAAAACCTGAGTAAAAGGAAATAGCCCCGGGAAACAATAGACTCATTATGACAGACTTTGCTCAATGACCATGACAAGCTATATTTAGGAAAACAGAATGAGAGAAAAGGCAAAACATT